ACACACACACACACACACACACACACACACACACACACACACACACACACACACACACACACATAAAAAGCCTCTAGGAGTTATTGCCACAAGTCTAACATTATACAAATCACTGCCTCACAGAAGCCTCCCAGTTCTTTGGCTAACACACAAACAGCAGCACTTACACCATTATATTTCCCTTCTGAGATCATTGTAATTAAACTAAAGGATAAATTCACTTTTTGTTCAAAAATCCAATCATTCTTGAAATCTGCAACCTGTTTCCTCCTCTTGCGCATTTGCAGTCCTTGTGTTTGAAAATGTGCAAAGTACAAACAACAGACAATTTGTGAAATGTTGATGATTGGATTAGTTTCTCATGTTTGGATGTAAAAGTTTAGTTTTACAATATGCATTTATTTTGTTTCAAATTCAAGCAATTTTACAGAGCAGGAAACTGCTTTTACCAAATAGTTTTTTTTATTGAAAGTGCCTATTTAATTAAAAATCTTATCATTACTAAACAAATGCATGTCACCCGCCACCTTTCATGCTGGAAATTTTAGACTAAGATCAAATGATGCAGTTATTTTGATTAAACCTTGAAAAAACATTATGCACATATGCAACATCAGAAGATGTCCCACTCAGTCACTGCAAAATTGATAAGAGATTTAGCCAATCTTGTGTTGGCTAATGTTGAATAGTCGTGGTGGTCAAAATAACAATCACTGCTGGAGATGCTGATAAAAAGCCTTCAGATCGGAGCTTCCTATTTGGCTGCACACAGAAGGTGTAACCCTCCCTGATGTCAGAGAACAAAGGTAGCAGGCAGCAGGAAGAGATGGAGGTCAGATTATATTTGCTGGAGAAACCCAGAGGTCGGCCCAGAGCTGGAGGAACCAATGGCATGAAGGAAGCACAGGGAGTTGGGTCAGTGCTTGTAAATCAGACATGTGGTGAAAGTATTATTGTAGCAGGAGGATGAACAACCAGGGTAAGCTCTGCATGGCTATAAAAAAAACAGTCGTTGCACAACTTTACTTTAATTTTTTTGCTTTTCATTAACAAACATGCAGGGCGGACGAACTAAAAATGGTACAAAAATATTTTTAGACATCTCTCTAGCAGGTGAGAGCGGTTGAAAGCATAAATTATTATTACATTTTGTATTTGTTACATATTATCTGATGAACACTTCACAAAAAATACATATTTTCCCTTTTAGTTATCTGAAAAATGAGGGAGTTGTAGTCATTTTGACTTCTTAAAAACAGCATGATGTGAGGATTCATGCGATATTACATTATCTTGTGTGATTTGGCATGATCTGTTAGTGGTAGGAGTAGCAGTTGTAAATGACCCACACCAAGTTTCACCTCAGCATCTGTAAAATTCACTGAGGTGTTGCTATTTTTGTGTAAGCTAAGGCTGATTAGATGTGCCAGCTATCTTGAATAAGGCTGACTCAAAAAGTTAGTCAGTTATAGATGTAAAGTTAATCATTACCCTTTGAACTATTCTTTAAAATCTACCCCATGTTTTAGGAGATATTTTGCTAACAGACAAAAG